TTTTTTTTTTTTTTACCTACCCCTTGTTCGTCTTAAATTACGGATAGGATCGTGAACAACCTACCTTGCTCCTTCGAGTCTGATGATGTTTCCTACTGTCCTCAATAATCCTGGGTGCGCGTTTCGAACCGCGAGCATGGAGCCGTCCGCTGATGCCAGTAGGAGAGGACGACTTTCTCCAGCAATCTACAAAAATTATACGCACGTCACGTACGGATCTTCAACGGATAGGACAGATACATTTATTGTACTCGAATGTACTCGATATAATACTTCCGAAATTCTGTGGATCAATGATTGCCTGTCTGTAAGAATAGGCTGAATCGAATTTGGCAGGATGTTCGTTCGAGTTCGACACGTATGTATTTACCTGCATTCTGACTTTGGCGGTGTCCAATGGAAACGTCGCTAAATCAGCGATGCAGGCTGCTGTGCCTGCGGAAAGCAATTTCATCCATATGGGGAACTCGTCCGACGAAGCCTGTTGCTTCATCTTGTGCTCGTTCTTCCTCTTCTCGTTCTCTGTCTCTCCACCGATGTTTCTCTTTTCTTTTTCTCGCAGCGTTTCACCTATTTAGTCTGATCGGTGCTTTTTCTAGGTTGATGCATGCGTCGGATTTGAATGGGATTTGAATAGTGCAATGCTTCGACTTCGTTGAAATCCCCGCGTGTTCTCTGTCTTCGATCCTTCGAGATTGCTCGGCTTATCTGAGCGAGATCCTCTGTTAGAAAAGCGATATGTACACTATATACAAAGTCCTACCAGAGGACAGGAACCTTTAAATGATCATTTAGCAAACGTCTGTGGTTTAAAGACAGAGCTTTTTAGGTTCCCTGAAATGATCAGGATACGCGTGCAGTCCCCCTGACCGCGAGCACTCGTGTTTTATGTCTTGATTGTGAAGTACTTTATACATACTATTCTTCTGCAACAGAGATCAAAGAGAAAACTGAGATTGACAAATTTATCCTCATGATGAAAACCATTAAATTCGATATTCACAACAACACGATCATCACGATCAATCGACGTTCGACTTTTCTACGAGTTCAGCGAAAATAATCAAAGCTTAATGACCGACAAATTGATCGAGCAACGATCGATCGTATGACAGAGTTCGACGTATCAAAGAAAATAGGTATAGTTCGCTGTTATCGGAATATAAACACGGTAAAGTCGCGTGTGCCACGATTCTGTAACCGGAACGACTGATTACTCTTTGTCCGTAAACGAAGCTTTATCGCGTTATCCACGTCATAATTGTCCAGAGCACATCAATTCTTTTTTGCCATGCCTCGACTTTATGCAATGACACAACGTTAATTCGCACTCAGTGACACTGTTCTCACGTGTGAATAGTCGAAATGTGAGCTTCGAGCGAGTGACGCGAAAATAGATCGCTAGATAGAGAACTATTGGAGGAGAGCCAGTGCGTGAACGTGTCTCACGAAATCTTCACCGTGTTTAATAAATTTTCAAGCAATTCAATCAGAATAAAAAAAAATACGACACATCAAGAATAATTGACAGCATGACGTTTTGTCATTTTGCCGTTTTTCCTCGGACTCTATTTGCTCGCGGTTTACAATGTTGAAACTAATTAAAAAATTATACGTCACGTTATTGCGGCCATGAGGCTATTTTTGCTACAGTGAAATATTGTTGTGGATAAGTAACGTTCTTATACAATTATATCGAAGCGATAGTTTTTCGTTTTTTGCGCATAAAAACTTCCACGCCAGAAAAAACGAGAAGAGTACCGTTGCCGATTGAGACGGCTGGGGTAAAGTCCGAAATGTAAATTAAGTCGGGATCGGTTCCATTTTCTCTTCGTTAGTCATTAGTATTATTTCGTTTCTGTTCTATTTAGATGACCAACGTTTGATTTGGTTGACAAATTTTTGAACTTTAAACCATCGATTTAAAGATCTAGGTCGAATCTAAACTTTATTATTAGAGATGAACTTTACACGAGGGAAATCGACGAATGGCGGTTTGATGTTGAAACAATTTCGACGAGTTTTATAATTTAAAATCCAAAACCGTAAACGTTTGTTATAACCTTCGGCCACTGATTTCTATTACGAACGCTTTCTACAAACTATTCAACGATTTCTCCATTGCGAATGCGTGGTATCGCTACGCTCCATTGTGTCGAAAGACTACGGAAGAAGGCGCTTGCAAACAATGCGATCGATAATAAACTTCGGCCATGCGCCTGCACCCATTGCTGCACCCATTGCTGCATCCATATTTTTCGTATACCGTATCATACTTATATGTATATTAATTCTCAAATAACACGTCTAGATAATTATTTTAATTACGAATCACAATTTCAATTTAATCCTGCTATAAATCTTGGACTCGTTTTTGTTCGATGGCGGTTTTATTTTTTTTTTTTAAAACTTAACATTTCCCAAAACAAAAGGACATGTTAAATCATGTTTTTATGAATTTCGATACATGTTCTTTGGGAAATGTAAAATTCTCTTAAAAAAAATATCGTAAAAAAATATGAGGTAGGGTTAAAACATTGAGTAGCTTTTATTTGTGAAATCCAACAATTAAACGTCTTTCGTGTAAGTTTTATATCGATTAGTTGCAAAGAGATTGGAGTTCGTGAAAGAAGAATGCAAATAGGATCTATCTTGAGTATGTTATCTCTTGCTTTCTAATGATCTCGAGCCTTGAAAAGTGGAATTCTGAGATCTGAGATACGGGAATACAGCTGCTGAAAAGGTTCTGATATATTGATTATCCTCGACACGAATGTGGTAGCGGTATAGCAATCGTTGGTAAACAATGGAGTCAATCCAGTCACTGTACTTTTTCAATGTTACGAAATAAATACAAAAGTGTTCGAAAGGAATATAGTTTATATCCTCAATATCATAGTATCTGTTGACAATAACTTCACAGGTCAAATGTGAATAACAAAATGTGAAATATTATTTAATTATGACTGTTTTAATTTTTTAGTTATATCATATTAATGCAATTTCTTTTTATAAAAAAAATATCTTGAAAAACTATAAATTGATATTTTTATGCCCCGTAATAAAGTCGTAAAAAAAAAAAAAAAAATTGAGGATCGTTAATTATATACTTTGAATGTCACATAAGTAAATATAAGGAAAATCAATAGAGAGCGAAATGTTTGACTTCAACGGCTGTTATTTTCATTTAAATTGTTCCAGGAAAAATGGCCCAAATAATTGTAATCAGCTGTTATACATTTTCGCGTTCCAATGTTGTAGAATTCCTTGACAGAATTGTATAGTTTCTGTTTCGCGAGCTATTTCGTGGAAATTCTAATTCGTATCAGGTGGTCGCATGGGTGTTTGACAAATCGATGTTGCCGACCTTTTACCATTCGCGCATATGCACTGCAGTTACAGACTGCAGAAAGATGACTCATGTCCGTTTTGTCAATTTTATTGAAATTTTTATTCGCACCGTTGTTTTTAACATCGAAACGAACGTGTAGAATTCAAAATGCCTATTCTTCGAATTTACACGTAAGGATGTTCGATGGCTGTATTTTTTTAACGAAAAATAAGCGTTTCCGATGGGTTTGCTTCAAAGCGAATATCGATCTCGTGACGGCTTCATAGAATATTTACAAATGACAAAACCTTTCAGCACGTTATCAATATCGTCGTAATTATCTTACCGACGCGAATAATTTGAATTTCATGATCAACATAATGCTAACATGAAGAGACGTAATCAAATATGAATATTAAATATTCGCGATGAAAATTAGAATGACAATAGGTCATATCACCTGATAAAATACAAACATAATAATTTCAAAAGATTCACGAAAATCCTCAGGAATGTTTGCTCAGGAGAAAAATAGGCAAATATAGGCAACTTTTCTCAATCTGGGCCATTTCACTGCAGTTTACTAATAAAATAAAGCTTATTAAAAAAAAAAAAGAAACTATAGTGAAATAGCTGCAAATTGAGAAAAGTTGTTATATATAATTACTAAAAAATATAACTTGAATACCTTGAAAAAATAAATATCGTTTGAATAAGAAAACAATGATATTTCGAAGAGAATGTACTTACCAAGTGTACAGTGAGTGGATAATAACACAACTGGAACAGATCACCGTGAAAGCATCGTTTATACCGGCTCGTTGACCAATAGGGATCGTCCACAGTTGAACTCTGCCTATCAGCTGTCGCCTGCGACGTCAGATTTAACCAAAGAAAGCTCAGCTTGCGACCGGATCGATAAGTTCCAGGAACGTATTTGTATAATTTGCTCCCTTGTATAAGTTGCATACGAATATATATATATATATATATGCATTGGTTGAGAGCAGACGCATTATGGTCGACACCCTTTCAATGAAGAAGGGTTACGTGTCGCGAAATCATGCAAGCCTGCACCATTGGAAATTACCACATGCTCATCATGGAGATTTATTTTGTTGCACACGCTGCAATTTTTTTGCATCAATTAGCAGTGCAGCTAACTATATTCGATTCGACGACAAATAATAAAGAAAGAGCATCCTTCAAGAGCATATTCTCGAATAATGATCGACATGGTATGTCGCATAAATTTTCTAGATGGAAAATTTATAACAAGTCACTTACCGATTTTACTTTCATCATGAACGTCGTAATAAATTTTTTTCTTTAATTGGTTTCGTGGATTCGAGATAGGAATTAGACAAACGTTTGATAGCTTTTGATCAATATTGTTGGCCTTTCCCGAATACCTATAGATTCGATACAAATATTAATATCAAGATTACGGTCGTCTTATCAGTTTAGGAAAGATGATATAATAGTTAGTTGAATTGCTTTTAAGTGTGTTTTTAATGTGGCGGATAACGATCATTGCTTAATGAAGTAGATAATAAATTCACGTAATGTTCAATATTGATAATGTATTAGTTAAATAGTTCTGTTAAAAAAATGATAAAAAAGACGGAACAATAATATCAATTTTTTGGTATGAAAACATAAATATAAAAATATTAGAAAAAAAAACTTGGCTCATGGGGGGATCGAACCCGCGACCTTCGCGTTATTAGCACGACGCTCTAACCAACTGAGCTAATGAGCCAGTTGAGAGATTGTGTTAATTTCACAGTTTTTTCGTGGCAATCACTTAAAAAAAATTAATATTTTTAAATATAAAATAATTATATAAATCAATAATTATAAGTTATTTTTTACTTATATTAATTTTTCTCCAAGAAATAAATTAGCCCAACAGTAATTGAAATAATTTGTATATTTGCATTGTATATGGAATAATTCTTTTAACTAACTATAACTAAACGCTGTTTGATCAAGCATGATTATTTGCAAGTCAGCACATCAGATACAATTGATCGATGAAGTACGTAGGTCGTTTTATTTGTAAAGAAATCGAACTGTCTGAACTTTGTCTTGTTGTTAAACTCTGCTCATAAATAGAGTCAAATAGAGTTAATATGAAGCTGGATTTACACTATATAACAAAATACATTGCATAATATATTTTACATGCGAAATATTGATATACATTATGATAAATTATATATATGATATGTGTATGATATATGTTATATTCAAACAAAATTTTTTAAGAATTTATATTTAAAAGCCTAATTCGTGTCTTGGATTTTTTGTTCGTTAAAAAGTAAAGTTTATTAGTCTTTTATCAATTTTCTTTGTTACATACCCGGAAGCGACGTGACTTTGAAAATATCAGCGCGGGATTTTCATGAAGGTTAGGAACTATGAATTTGACACTATATTCATTTGCTATAATCTTGAAATCCAATTCGGTCTAATTTAAGAAGACATTGTAACAAAATTATAATAACGTTTATATATAAAGATGTGTATTTTACAATTCAACTTATGCTATTATAGGAATTGAACACGATTCAAATATTTATTCTCTAAACTTTTGAATATTGCTTCTAGATGGCAGCAGGAAAGTATTAATCGAGAAATGTCGAATCACGTGACTCTTTCATGGTGTTTTCTGATTGGTCACAGTCGCTTTTAATCGCCGTATGGCATCGCCACTATTCGGCGACGAACGGTTTTGATTAGCTTTGGAAAATCTTTATAAAGAATTTGAGTTTGAATTTGAAAAAAATTCATTCAAATAGAGGAGTTCAGGTTAAAAGCATGTTGTGAGCGCAACAACTTTTGTGAACACTTTAAGTTTTATTGTTGTGATTCAAAACGTTGTGTTGTTTTTACATCAGTTAGATTCGTGCTATAGTACTACTTTATTGTAATCATCTTTGAAGAAAGAAGTAAATATGATGAGCAGTAGAAATGTATTGTCATCAACTGCAATTGATTTTCCTCTCCATTCATCAGCCATATTCATTTCCAATTCTTTAAGGTTTGAGAACTTTTTACCTATTTTATCCTATTAATATATGAATGTTAATATTTCCAAATATTACTAGTTAGAAAACGATACCAAATCAAAAGCTACATAACCTGTAAGCCAATCTAAATATTAAAATTCTCCTTTGTGTATCTAGACCGGATTGCAAATAGTATCATGGAATAATTATAAGAATTTCTATCTTTCCCACATATAAAGAGGAGATTTCAATTTTCAAGATCATGATTGATCTGATCACGAAAAAAAATTGTTCAGTGATGGAAAAACTTTCCTTTGGCAAAATATTTGAAATTTTACAATTTTCGAGAAGTAAAGTATTCTTACTTTTATACTTGCTGCATGATGTAAAAATAAATATCTTTGAACGAAATAAACTCAGGATTGTTAAAATGGAGACTTCTTTAAAATAAAATCAAGTTAATTGTTCTACAATTTTTTTTTCACGAAATCGTAACAGTTTAAAGTATTGACAATTTTTCATCTAGTTTATAAATTTTAAGAATTTCTCATGAATTTTTGTGTATTTGATTCAAACCAGAGTTTTTTATTTTTTATTCCAAGTTAACATTTCGTGGGAAATGCGCGCGTATTGGGTTTATACTTAAATTTTTGTACGTAGAATATATTCATTTTAAACTATGTATATGATCATTTTTGTATATAGATGCATTTGGTAGAAAAGTAAAACTCTGTAAATTCCTTGTAATTATTTCGCCTGAAACTGTCAAAGTTGATTGACTGAGTTTTGAATGCCGCGCGTAAAATATTTTAATTTTGCGCGCTATTATAAACTAGAGAGTTAAGTACCGCCCCTCTACTGACGCTTACGTGAGCCAATAGGAAAGCGGCTAGAAGAGAACTGAAAGGGACATCCATCATTCTGGAAATCATAGCGTCAAGATTCTTTTGACACGTGTGAATTTTGATACTGCGTAGCATTTATTGTCATTCTACTATCTCCTACAGACTACTATCAGGTTCGTTTATTTAATATATTATTATTTAATACATTTTTAAGCAGTAACATAATGATATTCAATAACTTTACGAACTTTGTTCAGCTCTTTACATAGGTTAATTACGTAGTTGTTAGATTTATCAGTACCACATGTCAAGAGTTTTTGAGGCAGAATCTGAGTGCAAATCACTTTGAAAGAACATGTCGATGGTTGCTATGTAAATTTAGTATGTTAGTAACATTTGATTTATTATTTCATTCATTATTTATTAGTATCAGATGTAAAGAGTTTTTGAGGCAGAATCTGAGGTTATTTAATGTATTATTGATTCTAACCTATTGGATGCTTAAATTACTGAACGTCTCGATGGTTGCTGTGTAAATTTGGTACGTTAACGTTTGGTTTATTATTTCATTCACATCATTATCTTATATTTGATCATTGACTTTACCTGAAGATTGACATCGAGGAACGACAAGGGACGTTGAAAGGACCATGAAGGATGTCGAAGGATATCGATGGACATCGGAGACATGAAGAGACATAAAGGAAGATAAAGGGACATCGAGTGACTTCGAATGTACTGTATAAATGTATGATTCGCAACTGTATGTACAATTGTACGATTATTGTGTAACACTTGCCTAACCTGGACGAATATTTCCCAAGTGTTCCCAAACGTGACAAAGTATGTTCGCGCGTTTTACTCAGCATCACACTTCAATAAGACAACGTAGTAACGTGTGCAAATCGCGAGTCTTCTTGTTAGTGTTGCGAGAAATTACGGTTTAAATTTTGGACGAGGCTGCAGTTCCCCGATTTAGCACAAAAGCCAAATCGAGGGTTCGAGCATTTAAGAGGCA